TGTGAAAATTATTCATCACCTACCAACAAGTCTTACTCACGTTAAGTTGGAATATATGTATATATTTGAACGTCACGTGGCAGAGAGTTGCATGGTTGCAGAGATGTGGGAGACTGCCCCTTCATCTACTTTAATTCATATTACAATGGGTGTTGGGCTGGGCATGATTGTGGGAGGTGGACATCAGAGCAAGTTACTCCAAGTAGAGGAAACACAGGAAAGATGGCAGAGAGGTTTGAATAGCAGACTGAGATCTTTATACTTATTGAATTGTCGCTGTGATTTCAAAAGATTAATCTGAAGGCTGCATGTAGCATAAGTAGAAGGGGGGAGGGAAATGGAAGAGATCGTTCTGTAGAAAAATACAGTGGGACAGAGGGGCATTAAGTTACCCAATACAAAACTTCCTTAAAGTCTCACACATCTCACCTACTCCCTGTTATTTTTTTAAAACATTGTTTTAACTTCTTCCCCCTCCACAGGTAAAGAAAATTCCATACAGATGGTTTCCCAGAAGCCCTGCGCTTCTGGCACACCACCCTAGGCTCCTCCCTCAGCAGGGTAACATTGGACAGACTGTTGACAGGGAAATGTGGGGGAAATGAATGTGCAGTGCTGTAGGAACAGACACTGAGGCCTGACAGCTGATGTAAAGTGGAGAAAGGAAGTTGGGGATGGCTCTGGTTTCAGAGTCACTCCTAGACTTCGTCAAGGAGAGTTATTAGCATGTAAGAAAGACAAGGAATGGGGGCTTTGGGGCCACAACACGGCACCTGTGTAGACACGTGCTACATGCTGTTGTCCAGGTGGCTTCGAGAAATGTGGGGTCGGAACTAAGTTGGTTTACTTTAGTCTAGTCATTGCTCACACACATAACTGAAACTATGGAGATACATTTTATAATGTTGAACGTGGTATTTTTGTTTTCTGCCCCTTGTTTCAGTTTCAAGACTCTGCTTCAGCAAGATGTGAAGAAGAGAAGAGGCTATGGAAGCTCCTCTGATTCCAGATACGATGATGGAAGAGGGTAGAGCTTTTTAAATTGATAATAGATATTTTTACCACTCTGTAATTTTAAGTTAACTATTATAGATGGATAGGCATAGGCTCATGGAAATAAAAGGTTTAAATTCTATTTCATAAAATTAATGCATTACTGTAAATTAAGTCAAGTTGCCTCTGATTTGATCATTAGAGTCACTTTGACAAAGCTAAAATGTATATCAAATATCCTATGGGAAAAGTCCAAATTAGAGGATGAAAACTGATAACCACCCTTAAATCTAGAGATTTTACTTTAGAATCTGGATTCCCACTGGCAAAGAAAACCAGAGAAGATGAAGCGGCATGGGGTTGGGCTTGCATTTCCAGGGAGCTGAGTTTCATTTGGGCTTTCATTTACAGGGAGGACTGTTCAGATCATCACAATTCCTTGCTTGACTCACTTTTCTCATGTGCATTAAGTGTCAGTTCCCTGTATTTGAATTTTCTCAACTCCTGACATAATTGGCAGTTCCTATTTTAAATAAAGAGTCTATTTGAGTGTTTGGAAGGAAATTGCTTGATGTCTACTAAACAGCAGAAATTAAATTTTCTTTTATTAGGCCACCAGGCAACCCTCCCAGAAGAATGGGTCGAATTAATCATCTGCGTGGCCCTAGTCCTCCTCCAATGGCTGGTGGATGAGGAAGGTAACTTAATATTTGAAATTACTCTGCAGAGATTTCATTTTGAAATATCCTCTTAGGGAAAGTTTTTTTAAGAAAACAACTTATCCAATATTTTGTTACTATTCAGACATCTTATCTGGAAAAATAATTATATCTTAACCCTTGAAAAATTTATTGTATTTTATTATCAAAGTGTCTTTTGAAAAACAGTTCAAAAAAAATGATTGTTGGATTTTTTGGTGCAAATCCAAATCAATAACTAGTAACTGATTGTTATAACACTTTCATTTAGGTAAATGTCTGCTCTAAGAAGCAGACAACTGGACATGCACATTCGTAACAGAGGGAAACCATCAAGAAATCGAGTGCTGACCATGCAGAACAAGGAATTGAATGTGTGTGCCTGAACAGGGATTGCTCTGTGTCCTCACAGACGAATGAGGTCGTGCTGGGAATTCCCTTCCCAGGGATCTGGCATGACTGACATGCAGTTCTTCTATAAATGTACATGTTTGTCTCATTATCTTTTTGTATAGTTTATGAAAGTATTAATATAGTTTTAATAAGTAAATATTTTTAGGTTACAGACCTTGACTTCTCATCTTTGTATAATTAAAAAACTCCAAATTTGAAGAAAAATAAAAGGTTGTGTATTCTGTATTGAATATAGTGTCACCTTTTTAACTTGAAATAGTATCCATTGTTAATTTGTTCTCATTTATAAATAAATCACATTGTATTTATTCCAGTAGTTTGCATACAACTTTATCTTGAAACCTATTTGTCCTATGAATCTTTAATACAGAGTATCAGATTTGCTATCATATATAATTATCGGGGTAATTATAAAGCCATAACCAACAAACCTGAGTTACAAAATGAAGATTGGCTAGATGGTCTTTAAAATCATAGACTTCTGTGTTATATTGACAAATTTGAATTCTAAAACATCGCTTAAGATACTGCCTGTTAGCTTTCACACACACACACACACACACACACACCCCCATGAATGCTGGTAACTCTCACATTCTATCACTAGAATGGAAGCTCGATGAGGTTGGGATTTTGTCTTTTTTACCGAAGTGCTGTGAACAGTGACTGCATGTGATAGGCACTGAATTATCTGTTGGAAAGATGAATAATACAGATAATTCTGCTTTGTGTTTAGCAGTCTTTGAACCAAAGTTTCAGGTAAAAGCATTTTTTTTTTTTTAAGATTTTGAGAGAATGAATGAGCACACAACTTGGGGGGGGGGTGGCTGGTTGTGCAAAGGAAGGGGAGGGAGCCTAACACTGGGCTCAACCCCTGGACCCTGGGATCATGACCTGAGCTGAAGGCAGATGCTTAGCCAACTGAGGCACCCAGGTACCCTTGGTAAAGGCATTTTTATATTTACTTGGATGTATTTATTCAACCCTGTTTGCCAGGAAATGGAGATGTAGTGGCATGAGCTAATGATCTTCAAACATAAGGGAAGGGGCAATTACAAGACAATTTTCAAGTTAAAGATAGACAGTTATTGATCAAGTCTGTGTCAGACATTTTATCTTACATATTCTGACACTACAGTAGGTAGATGATACTTGCATTATACAGATAACAAGCAAGGACATTATACAGATAACAAGCAATCACAAAGTTTTGTGATTGTGTGGCTAGTGAATGGCAGAACTCATTCTGTCAAAGCACTTAAGTGGGGAGAAGACCTGGGTAGTCTCAGAACGTGATGGCTTCTTCGTGCATGTGATTCATGATCCCTGTGCCCCTCCCCCTCCCCCTAACTCCTCTGCAGGACTCTCTTTTAGGGCTATTCTACAGTCCTGACTGCCTCTGGAATTTAGCTCTCTCACTCTGAGCATGAGGTAGACCACTGTAGGGCAGAAAGTAGCCTATTAAGTGGCCAGTGTTCAGTTCTTGTCTTTGCTACTCAATAGCTTATGTTCTTGACTAAGTCATGTCGTTCTATCCCAGTGTACTCATCTATGAAGTGGGAATTAAATTCCTACTTCAAGGGATTCTTCATTCAGCAGTATTTAATCCACCAATATTTATTAGGTGCCTACTGTGTGCTGAAGATAATGGTGGAGAGTAAGACAAAGTTCCTCCTCATGGAACTTACTTTTTAGTGTGGGAAACAGTGAGCAGGCAAGTACGGACTTAATTCCTGCTTCAGAGGTAGTATAACAGAGAGGCTTCTCTGAGGTGACATTTGGGTTGAGACAGGCTGAAAATGAGCCCACTGAAGGAAGAGCACCCCAGGCAAAAGGCAACAGCATGAGTGGTGGCTCAATGATAAGAGGGGCTTGACATGTCTGAGAGGCTGAAAGAAAGTAAGTGTAGCTGGAAGTGCCAACAGAAGGAGAGAGATGAGGTGAATTTAGTGATGTAGCAGGGACTGGATTAAGAATGGCTTTCTAGGCTGTAGTTAGTTTAGATTCTGTTCCATGAGCCAGGAAACAAAGCATTGGTTTAATTTTTGAGAATACTCATTGGTGCTATTATATGGAGTGCTGGGTATGTAGTACTGATTATCTTTTTTTTTTTTTTCATTGTCTTAACTACATACTTTAAAACCTGACACTTGGGCAACCGACTGAAGAACAGACTGAAAGAAGACAAGACCAAGCAGGGAGTTGGGTTAAAAGACTGTTACAGTGCCGGTGAGATGGTAGTTTGGGCTAAGTAGTAGCAGTAGGAATGGAGAAGTGGGTTCGTTCAAGATGTATTTTAGCGACAACAGGATTTGCTGATGGATTGGACAACTGAAGAATCGAAGTGTTATTTACCGAGATGGTGAGAGAGACCGTAGTGTTGGGGTGTGGGGGCGGACAGATCAAGAGTTACAGTTTGGGCTCATTTAAGTTTGCAATGCCTTGTGGATATCCAAATGGAGATACCAGGCAATTGGCTGTCAGTCTGGATCTCAGGGAGACTTCCAGACAGGAATCATGTATTTGGGAGATATCTTCATATGTAAAGCCATGGAAACTGGATAAATTCGCGCAAGGGATGTGGAGTGAGGCGCCCTAATTCAAGAACACCTTAACGTTAGAGGCTGGACCAGCGCAGTATGAGAACTAGAATATGCGTGGGGTCTGGGAGGCCAGTAAAGAAGCTGTGAGCTGAGCCAAAAACCGCGTACCCGCTGCTCCTGCGTGAGCGCTTGAAATAAAAACAAGTCGGCCCTGGGCATGCTACCGCCAGGACCAATCGCAGCAAAACTCACCCATCACGCCCCACCCCGCCCCGCCCCCTCACCCGGATGGTTCCGCCCCTCCGCTTTCCCGGAAGTCTCCGGGGTAGCTGCCCGGCGGCCATCTTGGTTGCCGGGAAGCCGGCTGGGAGGTTGCGCGTGCGCGGGGGCTCTCCAGCTCCGGCGGCGCGGCGCTGCGCGTCCCTGAGGGTGGAGGCCGGTAGGCGGCCGCGGCCGCAATGACCCAGGCGGAGAAGGGGGACGGGGAGAACGGGAAGGAGAAGGGCGGGGAGAAGGAGAAGGAGCAGCGCGGCGTGAAAAGGCCCATCGTGCCCGCGCTAGTGCCGGAGTCGCTGCAGGAGGTGAGACGCGGCGCCGGGGGCGGGTCTCGGTGAGGGCCTTCCGGCCGGGCGGGGGAGGAGAGGCAGGCGGGGGAAGGGAGGGAGGTGGTGACGCGAGGCTTCCGGCCTCCCCCACCACCAACCTTGGTGGTTGGTGCAGGCGGTAGTTCCCTCCCCGGCCGGCCGCGGAATCGGAACCGGGACCGGGCTTTCACCCGCCTTCCACGCTGCCCTGGGGTGTCCTTGACCGCAGATAATTTGGCACCGGGCAGAGACAGTTGGCGGGGCAGGCGTATTCCTTTGTGAAGGAGAGACCTCAGGGCGTGGAGTCCAGTTCAAGCATAACGCTAGGAAAATCCAAGGCGGGCGACTGTGTGAATAGACGTGAAGAGTTTGTGTGTCAGAACCAGAGCAAGAGCAAATCCTGCTAACCAGAAAGAATTATTTGGAGTTGCAGGGCAAGCACGGAGCACGTGTGTGTGCTTACTGATCAGTGAAAAAAATCAATGTTCCCGTAGGAAAATGGGCAAATTCACAGCAAAAGTAAGGAGGCATTGAAATGTTCAGTTTCATGTTGACGTCTCTGAGGCAGTTCCCTGACTGGTGGGTGGGTTAAGGATAACACCCAGCCGGCCAGGCAGCCATAGGATATATACAGCACCCTGTCCCCGTAAACCCCCGAGGGTGGTTCTTCCCGTGGTACAGGCCTCAGTTTCTCCACCCATGGAGTTGAGGCAGCAGAGTGGCTGGTCTGTAAGGGCCTTGCCAGTTCTCACCCTCTAGGATTCCCTCATCGGTGAGTGGGAGGCAGGAGGGTAGAGCTCACAGTTGGGCATGGGGCAGCAGGTATTAGGGCATGGCTTGGGCCGGGCTAGTGCAGAAGGTCATAGGGAAGTGTTGGGCACGCACCGCAGGTACCCCCTTTAGCCCCGATGGCCTGGGATGGTTGAAAAGGAAGTGACCTCAGGACCAAGACCTGAAGAATGATTAGGAGTCAGGGGGACTCTCAGGGAAGGAGAACAGTGTGGAAGTGACCTGGGCCAGGAGAGAATGTGAAGTTTTGGTGATCATATGAAGTTTTGGCCATCAGGATGTCTGGAAGTGAGGAAGAAGGTGCAAAAGGTGACGCTGGAGATCTTAGCAGAGCCTATCACAAGAGTCTCAAAACCAGAGTCGGTGTCTTCTGGAAGGCAGTGGAGAACTTTGGAAGAGCTAGCCAGACTGACTAACTGGCTGAGTCCTCACAGTAACTGTGAGGCGGGAGCTTCATCCAGAGGAAGGAAGTGCTGCAGTATGAATTGGAAGCCAAGTCTGTGAATCCATAGCCTGGGCCCTTAATCACTCTAGCGGCATTTCCTTAACGTCAGTCGTCAGTCGGTTGTAGAACACCCTTTAGTTTGTTAGTTAGTTTAGTTAGTTTGTTGTTAAACAAACACCCTTTTGTTTAGTTAGTACCTTTTTACTCAGTCTTACTTAAGTGGTACTATTCTGGGAAATGATTTGTGGTACCTACCAGCTAGTTTTTTCCCTAATATGTTAATATAAATATGGAATTATTAAAAAATATTTGTTCACACTTTTGGAAACCTGCCATTCCTAACCCCAGAACTTTCCAGTCAATGTGCTGCGGCCTGTGTGCTGTAAATGAGGTACAGGTATCCCTGACGGCAAGCAGCTTCATCTTTTTACTCCACTCTACTGGACAGATGTCGCCCATATTCCAGAAAAGCTCGGGAAGTCCTGTTTAACATCATGCCAACCCCATGGAAGAGGTGCATTCAGCAGACACTTTCTAGGCTCCTTTATACCTTCTGCTGGGCACAGAGTAGTGAACAAGACACAAGTGATCCCTTCTTACGTGAAGGTTTTTTTCTGTTGGCGGGGCAGACAGTAACTAATTACAGGCATGACAGTTGCCGTGAAAATTATATTGCACAGGGAAAACAAACCTAGTCTAATAACATTTAACTTCAGAACTGAAGGGAGAAGTAAGATTTACCAGGGAGAAAGGACATGGCAGGAAGAGGGAGTTAACCTGTGTGCAGACCTAGAAGTCATGATGGTGAGTTAAGAAATCAAGAGAGATCTAGATTAAGAAGGTTAAAGAGACCAGAAAGGAGGTGGTTCTCGAGTAAGGCTAGAGAAGTAGACCGGATCTTGATTTCAACAGGTTCTGGACTTTATCTTATGGGCAAGCTAGGAAATGTTGTAAATGGAGACGTGGAAGAAGAGTAGGGCAGGCTAAGAAGTCGTGCAGGAGTGGTGGTTCTCCAAGAGGGATCCTGTTGTCACAGGGATCATCAGGGGTTCTTTCCCTGCTCTCCACTGAAACTCTGAGTCCCCCAACTGATTCAGATTATGTTCTGCCCCCTTTGCAAATTACATATCTGAAACAATTGCCATCTAACCGTAAAGCCCACGGTAATCACTCCACGTCCTGACATATGCTGCTTTGTCATTTCTTGTTCACCACTTCCCAAGAGTGGATGCAAGAGTGAAATGCAGCAAAGTTTTCACACCCTTGAGGACAGAATAGTGAACTCTGGCATTTTAACCTCAAACTTTTGCCAGATTAGGTGAATAGCATAGAACTAATGAGGGGTAAAGTGTTTCAAAAACAATGACCAGGGGCGCCTGGGTGGCTCAGTGGGTTGGAGCCTCTGCCTTCGGCTCGGGTCGTGGTCCCGGGGTCCTGGGATCGAGCCCCAAGTCGGGCTCTCTGCTCGGCGGGGGGCCTGCCTCCCCCCCTCTCTGCCGAGGGCCTCTCTCCTGCTTGTGATTTCTGTCTGTCAAATAAAAAAAACAAAAACAAAACAAAAACAACAACCAAAATGTGGTTTATGCATACACTCAGAAGTAGTTGAAGTATAAAGCCTTACTTTCCAGCATTACAAAATAATAATTCTGTGCTTATGTGAATTTCTTCCCTAACCTGTTCGATCAGTGGTTGTTAAACCTGAGTGGTCATGATGATCACCTCAGGAACTTTTGAAAGTTGCAGATATGTAGGCTCCTTCTCTGAAAATTCTGAATCAAAATTTGTAGTGTAGGCTTAGAGTCTAGCTTGCTTTTTTTTTTTTTTTTTAATCTACAAGCATCTTTAGGTGATTCAGATGTAGCTAGTATTTTGCTAGTCATAGTATTCCCTACGCTTACTCCTTGTCTGTTTCCCCTAGTAGACTAAAAGGTCTCTGGTGGTTGGGATTTTGTCTTGATCACCATTGTACCCCCAGTATTGGCACAGAAATGCTCAGTAATTGTAGGTTAACTTATATTGGATATTTATCGTTTTGTTCATTTGAACAGATGTTGACCTGTGTACTGAGTCAGATCCTGGGAGCACAGATACTGGAAAAGAGTTTGCATTCTGCAGAGAGCAATAATTGGTTGCCTCTCAGAGAGCTACCTTCACTGAATTATTTTGAAACCTGTGAGTCTGGTAGTCTTTATAGGAGACTCACTTCTTAGTCTAGCCTGTTACCTGTATGTTATTTACTAAGGTCACACTCCCGTGTTTTATATTCGCAGCAAATCCAGAGCAACTTCATTGTTGTCATACATCCAGGTTCAACAACCTTAAGGATTGGTCGAGCCACAGACACACTTCCTGCCAGCATTCCTCATGTCATTGCACGAAGGCACAAACAACAAGGGCAGCCGCTATATAAGGACAGCTGGCTCCTAAGGGAAGGACTAAATGTAAGTCAGAAATGGAGGATCTGGAGCACTTGGGTGGCTCAGTTGGTTAAGCGACTGCCTTTGGCTTAGGTCATGGTCCTGGAGTCCCAGGATCAGGAGTCCTGCATCAGGCTCCCTGCTTAGCAGAGAGTCTGCTTCTCCCTCTGACTCTCCCCCTTCTCATGCTCGCTCTCTCTCTCTCTCTCTGGTTCTCTCATTCTCTCTCTCTCTCAAATAAATAAAATCTTAAGAAAGAGAGAAAAGAAAAGAAAAGAAATGGAGGATCTGGAGAGAAAGCCCAAGGTGATTTTCCTGGGAGAGCTTAGACTTTCAAGTATGCTGTGTATACCTGAATTAACATCTTCATAGCTTTAATGTGTTTCACAATAATAACATTCAGGGTTACAAGTAGCATTTTTCATGTGAGCTAGTGGTTTTAAATTGTAGAGAAATAATTATGACAAAAGCAAATCAAATTATTTTAACCCATCAGCATGAATTGGGTATTGATGAAGGAGATTTTTAATGGAAGGGACAGAATTGTCACTCACTTACTGATGCATTAAGGTCTCTTAACGGACATACTTTTCTCTTCCAGATACTTAGAGTTTATATTGAGTTTGTATTTTCAATCCATAAGCAAATCGAATTGTTACAATCACTTTCTCCAGTTTTAGATCAAATTATAGTATAAAGGCAAGACTGTATATATCCTTGCAGTTAGCATTTACTTTATCCTACCTTGCAGATAGTAATTATCAGAAACATTTTTCATGGTAGATGTGAAAGTATGCGTATTGCATTGTAATCCACCTTTAAGTTTTAAATGAAAGATAGTTTTAGGAACTTGAAGTTTCTATACTTCTGTTAGCTTTAAGGTTCCACTTTTTTTAGCAAGACTACCTAAGTCCATTTCTAAGATTAAGTGTAACTTGAGGGTGTAAGAGTGTAAATCTATTTCTATCTTTGGATCTTACCCTTCTATAATAGGACATAAATCTCAGGAGTAAAAGTTGATAGAAAACAGTAACTTTTCCATGGAGCTATTTATAGATGTGCTCTTTACAGTGTTACAGGGACTTGAATACCTGCTGAATAAACAAAATAACCCGAGTGAATAAAACATTGTTACAAAATTATAAATATGAGAATATGGAAATGTTTGGAAAAGTCTCTAAAATACTCTGTAAATACTGAGTAGCTATCCAGTGCTTAGTGCCATGAACAGTTTTATCACTTAAACTTCACTTAAGGTTATAGATTTTTGCAGATAGTTGGTTTATGGTAAGGGTTCCTTTCTGACTTTTTATTTATAAAGTATAAAAAGATTACTTTGAATCCTAAAGATTGATACATATGGCAGAAATTAAGGAAATGCAGCTACTTGTTTATGAGAGGGCATTTCCTCTCGATAGATTAAGTCAGTAGTTTGCCACATTGCGTTCTTTTTTCACTAAATCTTTGTGCCGCTCATCTTTCACTTTTCTCCCCAGAAACCAGAAAGTAATGAACAAAGACAAAATGGCCTTAAAATGGTGGATCAAGCAATATGGTCTAAAAAGATGTCAAATGGTACAAGACGGATTCCCGTGTCCCCTGAACAGGTTCAGTCTTCACTCTTTCTTCAGATTCATTCTGTCACCGCTGTTCTGTCAATAAGTGCTATTCATGATTTCATTATGCAAACTAAAGATGGGATTTCTTTAAAAAAGGAAGAAAACCATTCATAACCACCTACATAATAACCAAATCAGTGTCACAAATGCTTGGGCAAGATGAATAATTTAAAAGATGGTGTTTCTTTGGCAAGTTGATAAAAATTTATAGTGTACTTGAGAGTCTTAAGTGTGTAATTCCAGGATCTTGGTGGAAAGCAATATTCTCACTACATGTGCCATTTTAATATGATAAAAAATACTATTAGAAATGGACATGAGTTGGTATGATACATAAATGTATATTCAGCTTTAAACAGAGTGCAGTATTAATTTTGGACTGGCTGTGAATCACAGCCTAGGCATTAAAACCCAGGGGAAAAAAAATCACAATTTTGGAAAAGGCCAAAAGAATCTTTTTGCGACCAGTTATTATTTTGCCAAATATTTAGGATTTGTGATTTAGTTTTGCTACTGTATCTGGTCTATGAGAGAGCGGAGAAAAGAGGATTCATACTACATTTCTCTTCCCCTCCCCCTTTTTTCTTACGTAAATTTTCAGATAATTTGTTGTTTCAGGCACGCTCCTACAACAAGCAGATGCGACCTGCAATTTTAGATCACTGTTCTGGAAATAAGTGGACAAACACATCTCATCATCCGGAGTTTTTGGTGGGAGAAGAGGTAGGCAAATTTGCAGTGCCGTCCAGTTCTAGTTGTTTCCTAGAGTTCATAATCTCTCTTGCAAGCCCAGATACTCACACTGGCTCCTGTGATGTTAGATTCTCCACTCTCAACATTTGGAATAGTCAGCAAATGTTAATCATAACTCTGGCCCTAGATTTTTTTAATGTGAATCCAGAAAACGCCCAAGAGAAGTTTTAACAATGTATTCATCTCCCCATCTTTTCTAGGCCTTGTACGTTAATCCATTGGACTGTTACAATATTCACTGGCCTATCAGAAGAGGTCAGTTAAATATTCACCCCGGACCTGGGGGCTCCCTTACTGCTGTTCTGGCAGATATTGAAGTAATATGGTCTCACGCAATCCAAAAATACTTGGAAATCCCGCTAAAAGATTTAAAGGTGAGCTAAAATTCAGTTACCTGAACTGACTTTAAGAGTCTTGATCAGTAAAAGTACATATCAGTGAGTTGTTTGTAATCTAGTGTCCTTGAAGCATTCAGGGATAGCTTGAGGATAGCTTTCCTTCTTCACTGACTTCATCCCCGGTGATTTCTCTTTTTCTTATTTTGTTTTTTTCTATTGTGTCCTATCTGCTGCTCTGCAACCAGAAGGCTTGCTCATGTTTATATCTTCTCTTTGGACCTTTTTCAGTTCACATTTGTTGTCTTACTTTTAATTTCACAAGGTTTTTTTTTTTTTTTCCCCTTTTTCGGTTGAAATATAGATGAGACACAAAGTTTTATCAGTTTTAGGTGTACAACACAGTGATTGGACAACTTTGTACATAATGTGGTCGCCGCAAGTGTAGGTACCGTCTGTCACCACACAGTGCTATTACAGTACTATTGACTGTATTCCCTGTGCTGAGGTATCTTTCATCTCCATGGCTTGCTTATTCATTCCATAACTGGCCATTATCTCCCACTCCCTTTCACCCATTTTGCCCATCCCCCTCCCTCTCTCTACTCTGACAGCCACCAGTTCATTCTCTGTATTTATGGGTCTGTTTTCTGCTTTTTTTGGTTTGTTTTGTTTTTTAGATTCCGCATATAAGTGAATTCATGTGGTAATTGTTTTTCTCTGACCAGTTTCACTTAGCATAAGGGTCCTATAGGTCCACTCAAGTTGTTGCAAATGGCAACATCTTATTACTTTTTATGGTTGAGTAATATTCCATTGTATATACATACCACATCTTTTTTTTTTTGGTAAAGATTTTATTTATTTATTTGACAGAGATCACAAGTAGGCAGAGAGATAGGCAGAGAGAGGGGGGAAGCAGGCTCCCTGCTCAGTAGAGAGCCCGATGCGGGGCTCGATCCCAGGACTCTGAGATCATGACCTAAGCTGAAGGCAGAGGCTTTAACCCACTGAGCCACCCAGGCGCCCCGTACCACATCTTCTATACCCATTAATCTATTGACGTACACTGAGGTTGCTTCCATATCTGGGCTGTTGTAAACACTGCTGCAATGAACATGGCTGTACATGTATTCTTTCAAATTACTGTTTTAATTTTCTTTGGGTAATAGCCCATAGTGGAATTAGTGGGTCATGTATTATTTCTATTTTTAATTTTTTAGGACTCTCCATTCTGTTTTCCATAGTAGCTATACCAATTTACCTTCCCACGTTTTCTCTACATCCTCCCCAACACTTATTATTTCTTGTCTGTTTGGTAGTAGTCATTCTGACAGGTGCAAGGTGATAGCTCATTGTGGTTTTGACTTGCGTTTCCCTGTTAATGAGTGATGTTGAGCGTCTCTCCGTGTCTGTTGGCCATCTGCCTGTGTTCTTTGGAAAAATGTCTATTCAGATCCTCCACCCGTATTTTTAATTGGGTTATTTGTTTTTCTGGTTGAGTTGTGTAAGTTCTTTATATATTTTGACAATATATTAATCTCTTATCAAATATATCATTTGCAGATACCTTCTCCGGCTAAGTAGGTTGTCTTTTTATTTTTTTGATGGTTTCCTTCTCTGTGCAAACTTTTTATTTTGGTGTAGCCTACTAGTTTAATTTTGCTTTTGTTTCCTTGCCTCGGGAGACATTTCTAGAAAAATTGGGGCTGTTGTCAAAGAACTTGCCTATGTTTTCTTCTAGGAGTTTATGGATTCAGGTCTCACATTTATGTTTTTAACCCATTTTGAGTTTATTTTTGTCATGGCGTGAGAAAGTGGTCCAATTTCATTCTTTTGCATGTAGCTGTCCAGTTTTCCCAGCACCATTTATTGAAGACACTGTCTTTCCCATTGCATATTCTTGCTGCCTTTGTCGGAGATCAATTTATCGCTTAAGTGTGGGTCTATTTTTGGGCTCTGTTGTGTTCCATTGGTCTGTGTATTTTTGTGTCTTTACCATACTGTTTTGATTATTATAGCTTTGTAGTATATCTTGAAATCTGGGATTGTGATACCATTTCACAAGTTTTTAATAATTTAAAGGGGGGAAAACCCACACAATTTCAAAATTTTCTATTTTTTTGTTAAACCTGTAAGATAGCAGAGAGGTTTGAGCTTTTGTTCTGGGCCTCTAACCATTGCTGCCATCCTTTAGAGAGAATTCTCTCCGAAGACAAGTATAGTGACATTTATTTTGACCGGATTTTAATATTAACTGTTTTGTTGTTGTTCTTCTTTTTTAGTATTATAGATGTATCTTGCTAATTCCTGATATCTATAATAAACAGCACGTGAAAGAATTAGTGAATATGATCCTAATGAAGATGGGTTTTTCAGGTAAGTCTGGATATTCCAGAGAAAGCTGCTTGAAATGAGATTTGTTTTTCTTTTTTACTGACGTTAATCTAAGTCAGTGCTGTATTGAAATGCTTATTCTGAGTGTCTCAGCCTTGCTTAGACAATTGCCCAGGGGTTCCCAGACTTTAACTGATGATTCGTCCTTGGCTCTTTACTGCTCCCTAGCTGATTGCTCCTCTGCCTTTGTGTTTCAGGGATTGTGGTCCATCAGGAGTCTGTCTGTGCCACCTTTGGAAGTGGTTTAAGCAGCACATGTATCGTAGATGTTGGAGACCAGAAGACAAGTGTGTGCTGTGTGGAGGATGGGGTCTCTCATCGGAATACTCGGTAAGAACCTTGGAAAGTTGCGTTCTCTGCTCCTTCTCCCCTCACAGCCTATTTCGCTATAAAGCGTCAGAAGCTAAAAAGAAAATTTTTATAAGGAATTATATATTCAAAGTTTGCATAGTATACCCACATTGTGGAAGTGCAAATTCTAGGAAGGCTATAAACCACTGATTTTATCCTTCCTGTTAGAACTCTCCACTGTGAGTTCACATCAGCAGCTCCTAAAAATCCTAGCTTGCATTGTGTGCTTTCCCACGAAGGCAGCTCTTTGTCGTGCTGTGGTCTGCTGTAGACATACCAGTTTGCTCACAGCAAAGCTCCATTTAGGCAGGTCATGTTGGGGAAAAGAGGTTTTCAATTCTGAATTCTCTTTCTAGCATTGTGAGTATTTGCTTTTGTCGTAATTATTCAGTGAGTGATGAGTAGCTTTCTGGTCAAGTCCCTTTGTGATGTCATCACTGATACAAGAGGTAATAAAATAACTCTCAGGAGCAGGTTTGTTGCTTCTCCTTCCTGCGACAAGCCCAGCACGGGGTGAGCACACTCAGGCGGTGCACAGGATTTCTGTAGCAATTTTTTGCTCCCAGGAAGGCTTCTTCAGGATGCTGTAGTTCTTCCTATCCCTCATGTTGATAGTTCGAGATGCAGGGTATAGAAACATTTAAAAGAGGAGCTAAGCAGTCCATAAGAAAGGTTGATCTGTTGCCTCGCACCCCAGATTATGATGCATTCTAAAATCCAGCATACATTCATTTGGCTCGTCCATTGCTTATGTGTTACTTAATGCTGTTGGTTCTCAGAATATAGAGAAAACACTGGGCCTGGGTCTCCCACCTCTAAAATAACATGGCAGGGCTTTTCCCAAACCATAGAACCATTCAGTTAGTGGGTAGTATACACTTTAAAGTTTTCTCCTATGGGTTTGTCTTGTGGTGTCACTGCCTGACAACTTGATATACTGGTGAGTACGGACAGGCAGACAACTCTCATATGGTAAATAGAGTGTCTTAGAAATGAGTTGCATTTAGTTGTGAGTATTCTGCTTCTTGGAAACTTTTTTGCAAATAGCATGACTGCTGCTGGATGCCCACCACTGGTCTTTTGCTAGAGTTCCATTTCTACCTCCCATCCATCCATCCTGTCCTTTCATTTTTTTTTTTTTAAAGATTTTATTTATTTGTTTGACAGATCACAAGTAGGCAGAGAGGCAGGCAGAGAGAGAGGGAACAGGCTCCCCTCTGAGCAGAGAACCTGATGTGGGGCTCTATCCCAGGACCCTGAGATCATGACCCGAGCCGAAGGCAGAGGCTCAACCCAGTGAGCCACTCAGGCGCCCCCGTCCTTTCATTTTTATTCCTACTGTAAACATCTTTTGAGACTTGTCATGTTTCACTGTGCCCGATTGAATTTTTGAAATGCCCTTCGTACCTTCTTGACCAACAGATTACCCACCTGCCTTTTCTTCTAATTCTAGCCTCTGTCTGGCCTATGGGGGGTCTGACGTGTCAAGGTGTTTCTACTGGCTGATGCAGCGAGCCGGGTTCCCTTACCGAGAATGCCAGCTAACAAATAAAATGGATTGTCTTCTTCTGCAGCACCTTAAAGAAACTTTCTGTCATTTAGATCAGGTGAGAGCAAAATCAAAATTGCTGGTTATTTTTGTTTCTGGGAAAATTTTAAGATATTTCAAAGGCAATTAAAAATATAAAAGTATTATGCTAACCTTTCAACCTAAGTTGAGAGGGGCTTGAAGTTCTTAAGGAGTGCGAGTGTTTTGGTAAGGTCAGCACTGTTAGGTTGTCTCAGGTTCTGGAAAATACAGCTGGCTTTTCAAAGAAAAAGTATTTAGCAAATTTGTCTCTCTTTAGAAGATGTCAGTTGTAATGAATGTATAGGTACGGACGTGTAATAAAATGGCATCTGTTGAAGCACTTTCTTAGTGTTGTGAACAGTTAACATGTTACCATTGCCATATATGGACTCCTACCTTCTTATGCTTTCTGTTTCAGGTCTTTTCTTTTCCCTGACACTTTTCAAGCAATCTAATTCTAAATAACAAAATTTTGAGAAACCTAAGACTGGGTATCATTTCCTAGTTACTGAGGGAATTGATTTACTGATTTGGGTCCTTGTTGAAGATGGTAGAAATTTCAGAAACGTTGAAAGGGAAGCAGGGTACTTTTGGACTCTTGTTTTACTAAGTTCCAGTTGTAACGGGGGGATAAAATGGCAGAAAATTGCGGGGCAGCCTTGATAGAGGTAATTCAGATGGTGGAGAGGCTTAATTGTCATTTGAGGAGTTTACATGCACTCTTCACTGACAGCATCTTTTCCTGGAATCAGGACATCTCTGGACTTCAGGATCATGAGTTTCAGATTCGCCATCCAGATTCACCTGCCCTACTTTACCAGTTTCGATTAGGAGATGAAAAACTCCAGGTAATATATGGCTCTATATTTTCATGGACAGAAAGAAAGCCAGCCAGGTTCAGTAAGACTGAGAGAAAGTGTGCTTGTCTGAAACCTCATGAGGTCAGAGTGTCGACTGGCTTAGATTGTTCACTAAACCAGCTTTTAAGCCACCAGTAGAATACAGATTAGAATAGTTCCGAGGACCGTCTTTTTAATTAGCCACTATATGATTAGTTATTATTTAGAGAGAGGAGTACTGTTCTAAGAAATTATAAAGTAGCTTATTGGGCACTTGCATTACATTTTTTTAAAATTTTATTTATTGAGAGAGAAGGAGCAGGGAGAGGGAGAAGCGGACTTCCTACTTAGGGAGCCATATGTGGGGTTCGATCCTGGGACGCCTGAGTCATGACCTGAGCAGAAGGCAGACATTTGAGCCACCCAGGCATCCCAGCACTTGCATTATATTTGCTTTGACATTTCTTTCTGGTGTCGTATCACTCACTCAGTTGGATGATTTCTGTAAGTTTTCTGGCCTCTTGTGCAATGAGGAAATAATGCTACTCCCAAAAGCGAGTGCTTATTTAGTCTGCCTTCTAGGATCTGATCTGCCAGTTTTGTTTTGGGAAGAACAGAATTTAATGGATCAGTTTTTTCAGAAGGCTGTGTCCTTGGTTGATCATTTTTTTTTTCCTTCCTTGCACAGGCTCCAATGGCTTTGTTTTACCCTGCAACTTTTGGAATTGTTGGACAGAAAATGACAACTTTGCAGCACAGATCCCAGGGAGACCCTGAGGATCCTCATGATGAGCATTACCTGCTAGCCACACAGAGCAAGCAGGAACAGGTCTGCAGTGATTCCAGTGTGAGGGGGACAGCCTTGCCGCTGCAGCAGTTTGCCTGTCATTAATGGATCATTGGCAGTCACTGCAAAATGACTGCATGCTAAAGCTAATACTGTTTTTAGAACTGTATATGAAATGAAGTCTAAATTTAAAATCCAGATGACAGATTTCTTCATTCAGCAGACGTTAATTCAATTTTCAGAATACCAGTTCATACATTTAAAAGTTAATTTAATGAAGATACTTCTTTTTGGTGTATACATTATTTCTTTTTTATTCAGTAGGGTATGTTTTCAGTAAAATCTCACCTATTTTAAAAATTATAACTTAAATGGTATGTGGTCTAGGCACAAAGCTGAATTCTTTTGTCCAGAGCTAATGGTCCCAGTAATAGGAATGTCTGATGCAGGGGCACAAAAAGCTCTTCCCTGCCAAAGAATCAGCAGCTCATGATGGAGAGAGGAGGGCTCTAAACCTTTTCTAGTCCTTGTCCCTGAGCATGAGGTGGTTAGATAAGGTCTGAAAATGAAGGTTCCACAGTAGCCACAGGCACAAGAATCCTACTGAAATACTCCACTTAAAAATTCTGTTCAAGGGGGAAATGCCCATGTACACTGATGTATCAGTTTTAAAATCCAATGGGTGATAGTAAGGTCGTGAGACTTGCCCTGACTGTTACTGACTACTTTGGAATCATCAGCACATCCTCCTCTTTTGCACACCGCATTTCAGTACCAGGCGAGCTGGGAGTGGGTCTGGGTGGTTGGCTGTGAACTGGCATGCGTTCCCTTGCACCACAGTGATGCACCTTTGTTTTACGGTGGTGTAAATAGTGCCTCAAGGAGGGGTGGCGTCTAGCTGGGAAACACCCACACTGTTCTGTGACAGTCCTACCATCCACTTGATTGTCCTTTTACTTGATTTAAAGTCTGCCAAAGCTACTGCTGACCGAAAGTCTGCGTCCAAACCCATTGGATATGAGGGGGATCTTCGTGGCCAGTCTTCCGATCTTCCAGAAAGACTCCATGCCCAGGAGGTGGATTTGGGATCCTCCCAGGGAGACTGTCTGATGGCTGGCAATGAATCTGAGGAGGCTCTCACGGCACTGATGTCCAGGAAGACTGCCATCTCGCTATTTGAAGGGAAAGCCCTGGGCCTGGATAAAGCCATTCTTCACAGCATCGACTGCTGTTGTAAGCATGTTTTGGAAGCTGGTCAGGTGAAGGGGGTCAAGCTAGAGTGTGGTTGTGCAGCATAGCGTATGCATTGAGAAACTGGAGCTCCTGCTTTGTGCTCGCATTGTCTGGTGTTAGGAATCGGTTCCTGGCCTTGTTGGGCATATAGCCTACTAGGGGAGACCGAAGACGTTAAATTGCCCCACACATTGGAAATCACAACTGTAGCAGGGGCTGCAAAGTCAAACTAAAGGTACTGGCTTTCAGAGCTTCTGATAGGATTTAGTGAGGGATTTTTATTAGGAGAAAGAAGTGTAGAGGGTGGGAGGCTTGCCAGGGAAGCCTTCCTTGGGGAAGAGCCACTTGAGAGATATAGGAGGTGAGTGGGGGTTAGCCTGTCACAGGATGGCATTCCGGGCAGAGGAAGAGGCCTGTGTGGAGGCAGTGTGGCTTGGGGGCAGGGGCCAGGATGGAGCTAGAGAAGCCGTGTATACGTGCCACATTGGACGTTGTAGGTCCCTGTGGAGATTTGGGTCCTAATCCTGCAAGTAGCAGGGTGCGGTATGGTAGCAACTTGTTCACATTGGTGTTTTGCAAGGTTCTTCTGTCTGCATTGCTGAGGATAGGTTGGAGAGAGATCTTTGAGGAGGCTCTTAAACAAGCAAGAGATGGTGGTGACTTGGCCCAGGGTGGTGGTGGATATGGAGAAAAAGAGTTGAAGGAATATCATTGTCTTTTCAGCATCTGATGATACCAAAAGGAAGATGTACAGTTCCATCCTCGTGGTGGGAGGTGGTTTGATGTTCCATAAAGCTCAAGAATTTCTGCAACACAGAATTCTCAACAAAATGCCACCTTCATTCAGGCGGATTATTGAGAACGTGGATGTGATCACAAGGCCCAAGGTCTGTTGTTCATGGTGCAGTTGAATTATATGTACATGAAACCAGGACTGATTCTTTCTAATTATAATGTTATATGTGGACAGATAAAATCCTGGGAGCCATGAGCTTGCATCTGGGCAGCTCTTAATTAAGGGTTTGGGCAAGTGGAAAAATTTCAGTAGGTCACAGATTTGGTGCAAGGAGCTTTGGGCTAGGGGTCTGGAGTCCTGGGTGTTCCCAGGACTCCAGACCCCTGGGTGTCCCTGCTGTGCTCTTCAGACTCGCATGACTGACTTCCAAAAGCCATGCCTTTGGAAAAGGACTGGGTAGGGCAAGAAGACTGGCTGGTCTCCCGTCAGCCCGAACAACTCCAGTTTTCACTTTCCTATCAAGGATTTGTTGCTGGTCCTGGACGAGGGCATATTTACAGATCCTTCCGGCTTGAACTATCTCGGAAAGAAACACAGACCCTGGAATTTAGAAAGAGACTGTTGTCTGTATTTCATTATATCCCACGAACAATTCCTGGGGATGTTCTTATTTAATTTTAATCCTGAGGAAGGGGTAATGGGATATATTTATTCCATTCTAACTTCAGAATAATGATTTCCTTATGTACGTTCCTGCATATGGGCGCCTGTTTGTGGAATTACAGTGAATAGTAGCATCTTCAGTAATAAACTCTGAAGCTCTCTCATCAGTTGGAACAGAAAGTTGTCTGTAGTTCATTGGTCCTCTATGGATGAGTCTTTAATGCAGGTTGAAAAATCTGGCTTTTTAGGTATTGACTCAGCAGGGTTTTTTTAGCCCCCAAATTCAAGGAAATGATTAAATATACGTCTTGTCTACTTTTGCTGAAATATCTTCTTCACTTCCCTAGGACATGGATCCCCGGCTGATCGCGTGGAAAGGAGGGGCCGTACTGGCTTGTTTGGACACCACACAGGAACTGTGGATCTACCAGAGAGAGTGGCAGCGCTTCGGTGTCCGCATGTTACGAGAGCGAGCTGCTTTCGTCTGGTGAAAATGGGCAGGAAGTCACTAGAAGACCAAAAACAGGCCTCCTGGTATAAAAGACTCTTAAAGAATATATATATTTTAATTTATTGACTTAGATGCTTATGTTTCATGGAAAATAAATGAATTTTAACTTTTACGTTGACAACAGGATATTGGTGTGAAATTATAACCTGCTTTTGTAGCCATTTACCAATAAATTTACCAATAAATATGAACTTAGTTTTCAGTGGTAAATTCTTCTGCCCCTTTCTCAGGGTCGCAGGAGTTCCCTGCTGATGTGAAATGTTTTGGCGCGCCTTGGTTTAGGTTGACCTCAGTGTCATCAGACAGTCTTCCACAGCCACAGAGGGTGGCTATGTGACTCGCTGTCTGGCCGCGCCATTTTCCTCGTGCGTTAACAGCGGGCACACATTGTTTTGACTCCTGTGCTCTTAGAATTCTAAATGGGGAGAGAAAAGGTCCTTTTTTTCTTTTTCTGTTGGATTACAAAAAAGACAGTGACCAGTTGAGCTCTGGATTTCCAGAGGCAAAGATTTAAGGCTGGGCTGGCTGACTTTGTTACTCGACATGCTTCAGGGTAGGCTTGGGGAAAGATAACAGTCCGTATCTGACCAAAACAGAACAAAAACTAAAAAGAAAAACCCATTTCCTTCCTAAAGCCAAATAGAAACAATTCAGGTGTAATTGTTCATTTGTGCAGGTAAATAAGGTGACTGCCGTCCGTACCTTACCTTATAAATAAGGTGGCTGCTGCTTACCAACTTAGTCATCAAGCCCCCAATTTTCCTTTTCCTGAGAAAAGTTCTGGAACTCTTTGTGCTCAGTAAGCTCATTTGACCTTCATCTGCGAGCCATCTGAAGCAAAATCTAAGTACAGACAGCTACTAGCGCCCGTGGTCCCGGCCCTGATAAAGCCTTCCGAGCCCCTGGTCAGAGGAAGAGACACCACTGCCTGGAGACAGAAGCCGTCAGTGAGTACAGCCCATGGGCTGAGAGACCTGGGAGTACTGGGGGGCTGCCTGATTCCTGCCACTCCCTGCTGGGCATCTGCGTCCACCATGTGCTCATCCCAAACTGGAGATACTGGAGATAACGGGAGTGGAATGGGAGTGGCAGAGGGGGAGGGAAGTTGACAAAAGTAGGGCTGGAAAAGAGATGGAGGTAAGAGTGGAATGTAGAAAGAACAGGATGGCTAGAAGTCTCAGGGCTTGGAGAAACGCTGGTCCTGGGGCATTAGCATAACGATGAGTTTCCCACGTGATCAGTAGGCGAGGAATGAAGAAGAGTCCATCCCAATAACAAAAGGATTTTACCTTGTGGATACTATGGAAGATATGTGCCTTTAATCTGAAGATTGTATGCTCTTTATTTTTTTAACTTTTTAACAAAATAAATTTATACAATATTGATTTTGTTTCTGGGCTGTTTCAACACAATTTATTCATGGCTACCTAGTTCCAAAAGCAAAATGTATTTTTGTGTATCTTTTTTTTTTTTTTTTAACATAGTATAACCTATTGTTCTTATAACTGGTAGGTGTTGATTCAGAGGAAGTTGGTTTCTGGTCCAAGTTTTGACATAAGCCTTGTCTTTCTGTTACCAGCACTTATAAATGTGAAAACTGGTCATGCAAGTAAGCGATCTTAACCATATTAAACATACTGCCTCAGCCATTACTAAGTGCCTACTTCTGAAGTTGGACATGGTGAGTTTTCACTCAGTGCTTCCTTATTTTGGTTTTTATTTTATCCGTAAGACCTGGCTCTTTAAGGATAGTTTTAACCTTTCACAAATACATACTAACAGGTACCCAAGGAAGCTGATCCACATTCTAGGGCAGATTCAGTATTGTACTGTTTGAGAGAGACAAGCATTCGTAGAAAAAGATACTTTTTTTTTTTAATTTTATTTATTTATTTGACAGATCACAAGTAGGCAGAGAAAGAGGAAGGGAAGCAGGCTCCCTGCTGAGTAGAGAGCCTGATACGGGGCTTGATCCCAGGACCCTGGGATCATGACCTGAGCTGAAGGCAGAGGCTTTAACCCACTGAGCCACCCAGGTGCCCCAAAAAAGATACTTTTAGAGGAAAAAGTTGGAAGACATAAAATACCATACATATCTAGTTCTGGTAATTTTTTATTTAAGTAAACTATTACAATAACTCATTTATAAAAAGATTACTTCGAGAGGGCTGACTTTGAACAGAGCAGGAATTATTTGTGTTTTGAACATGAGAAGTCGCATAGTAAACAAGAAACTCTGAATTCTTGATAGTAAGCTTTAATAGGTAACTTTGGGCAAAAGTGGACATCAGGTCTGCAGGTAATGGGCATCGGTGTCTACATTAGAAGTCACCCGTACAAGACTCGGCGAGGACCTGAATCTAGTTCAGAGGGAGCAGGTCCTCTGCAAGTCCCGATAATACAAGTGACTGTACGTATCCTGCGTCATCTGGTCAGCAGAGAGGATTTCGGCTTGTTACTCCCTATTCTGTTTTAAAAATGGCTTTTGGATGTAATAGAAGGTTTTTTACCCATGAGCTTACTGAGTGAATGAGCAAAGGCTTCACTTCGGTATTCACCAAGTTTAGAGTGTCCGAGAAGTAAGCGGTTCTGGTTACTGTGCAGTGCATGGGCTGTTCCGGACTAGACAGTCGGCTGGCGGGTGTTTATCATCGTGTTGTCAGAATGCTTATAGTTCTGCCTTACAGTTCTCCTTGACTTTTAGGAGTGAAGTCAATTTAGCTTTATAAATGTAGTTTCTGTCCTTCAGTTAATGCTACAGTAGTTAGTAGTATTTGTAACAGTTTTTCAGGCATAAACGTTTTGATTAAGCTAAGATGTATGTATTCATTTAGGAATCCTCCCTGCTCCTGTTGCTAAATACAGCAGGTGTCTGTGACGTCTCCCTGCACATAGCCCACACAGGAAACTTCAGAATCATCTGAGATACTTTCTGCCTATAACTGGAGGAGTAGGAAGGCTTCAAGGCCCCTCACTTCTCACGGGCGGGCTACAGGGAACAGGCCGTCAGCCTCTTTCCTGCTGACACCTGCTGCTTGACACGGAGTAGTTCTGTACAGAAAGCAGACGCGTCCTTCATGAGGTGGTACCTGGGGCAGACGCTGAGTACGCTATATTCGTCTTTGGTATCAGCCTCTCTAAAATAGACCACCATGTATTTGTGAAGGGGAGTCTGGCTTCTCAGATCGCTACAGAAGAGGTTAAAGGCCAGGGGGAACAGGTCTTGGGAATTCTCATGGGGGCTGCCGTCACTCCTGCCACAGGTGCCATCGCATCTGGGGCTGACGTCATTGGAAAGGAGGAAGATGACTTTATCCACTGCTTTCGTCTGAGTGGTAAGCCATTGCACCGGACCCATCTCTGCTATTTTCTTTTTCTGCCACTCTTCAAGGATAACCTCACTTCTGCAGTGGTTCTGAAGAAACTCAGTGAAGTGACAAACCGTGTGATGGAAACATATTTCACATGGGTAGACCACAAGAACCTTAATGGGGGGCAGGAGCGTGGTAGTAGGGAAGGGAGCCTTCCTGGTCCTTTCTGTGGGGAGAGAAAGCATTTGTTGTCTGTGAACAGCAAATGGCAGGCTTTCACTCTGGTCTGAACCACCAATAATAAATGATCCCTTGCTAGGGAAGGCTGGCGGAGCACTAGGGACATTGTTCCTGCCAGAGGAAAATGTCCCCAGTGTTCCTTTTAAACATATCACCTGAGACACACTGATGTCTAAACCTTAGAGATGCTTTAAAAGATGTGTTTTCCAAGTTTCTATACTAAATAGGTCCTCTTCAGCCTTATCTTTTCAAGTAAATTCATTGAGGAGGTTTAGGTTTGAGGTACTTTGTTTTAGGTGGGTAGTTGTAATTGTCCTACCCTTAGTGTCCTGTACAAACAGGGCCACTGACCTGTCCTTCACATCATGTTTTGAGTCAGGTCAACTCAGTGATTGGACCATCTTCTATCTGCAGGTGGTAAAGGTGTTTTCTGTAGTTGCATAAGATTAGCCAGTACCCCATTTCAGCTGGAACCGAACTGGAATGCTGTGTGTGCTCTAGAACAGAAACTACCTATGAAAGTATTGTAACTATTAACAGGCCAAACGGTATCCCCTAAATAGTGGTATTCCTAAGGTCAAGGATCCACATGGTTTTCTTACTTAGGTTAGCAGACTGATCTTGTTCTGTCAACAACATCACAAATGACCCAAAGTGTGCATTTATATTTTGTCTCCATGTGGAGGAGAGGAAAAGCAGAGGTTTTCAGTGTATTGGTATAAATACTCTGATTCCTGTATTCAAATTCTTGATATTTTAGAGTTGGCAAGCTCCCTAGAGTATATGAATTCAAGCGAGTGTTGTTCTTAGGCCACGGAAGAATTATTTTTAAAAACTAGGAACTAGCTTTGGAGTACCCATTAGAGGCAAAATACAATTCGTTATTAGCTATCTTTTGCCCATTGCAGTCCTTGTAGATGCCTCAGTGGTAAAAATGAAACCAGTGGTTGTCACCAGATTGGGAGGTCCCCATCCCTGCTTTGCTTTGGCAGATGTGGCCCTGGCATCGTTACCAGTATTTTTGGGGAGCTCCTTGGCATTACATCAGGGCGACCTGACTCTTGTCCTAACACCAAAATGTGATTGCCTTTAAAAAAAAATTCCAAGTGTTATTTTCTCCTTCGGATTTCTTTAAAGAATGGAATTGTACCACTTACCGCGCCTCCACATGAGACAGATCCCAGCGGCCAGCACCCATGTGGCCAGCAGCAGAGCAGAGAGGAGAGGCAGCCAGCCACCCAGCATGCCTCTGCCTGGAGAAAACAGTTTATTTACCTTCAGCAAAACAAAACCAAATTTATCTCCTCTTTCGGAAGCTTAAGATTTTCACTCTGTACTTTGTAGAAGTTTAGATTCCTATAAAACCAAGGGCCAGTATATCTCTAGGGGGTCTGCAGATTGGTGCGTTTTCCCACAGAGTGTGCAGGCCATGCATCAGATTCTCAAAAGGGATAGGGGACCCAGGAGTTTAAGAAAGGTCCCCCAAAATCACTTTGGCCTTTTACTCCACATACACGCAAGCATTTTCACCATGGTAACAAGTTCGCATTCGGTTTTTTTGTTCTTTGATGAATTGATGTTGTTGTGGGCATGATTACTTAATACATAGTACGTGTGGATGCCGTTTTTAAAGGCTGTTTTGTAGGACAAACCTGGGGGCTAGTGCCACCCCCACAGGCCTGTGGGTCAGGTAAGCTCAGGAACTCCTAGGCACGGTGCCCACACCGAAGTCAGGATTGTCAGGCACCTGGGTTGTCAGTTCGTGCAGCTGAGTTTCTAAGAATACCACTTTCTAACTTTTGACTCTACCCGGCGTCAAAAAAAGCTAGTTCTGGGAACATTTTTATAATTTGCCTATCTGTAGCGAGAGAACTGACACCTCTGAATGCAGAGAGACATTTTGCCAAACTACTGTTGTCAGGCATCAGTGAGGCGTGTCTTTTGGGGCTCATAGTCCTCATTTGTCATCCAAATGTTGGCTGTGTGACCACACCACGCTACTGTCACAGGTAGGCCAGGGCCACTGAGGCTGGTCAGAAAACCACAGTGCCATGAAAGGTCCCTTCTCCTCTGCACTTGGTCCTCTAACGCCGCTGACTTTCCGGCCCGTCCCTGTAGCATTCCGCACATCCATTTTGCGCTGTTTATCCGCCCCCCTTCCTGTGTGTACCCTGTTTCGTAAAGGATCCTGCGGTGAATTCACACACCAAGCCTTCATTCTCAGTCTGGGGCAGCTTCGACCTCTGGCCCCGCACCCCAGCCCTGTGTGCGCGGCGGGACTCCCTCACCCTCCTGCGGGGCAGGTGCACGCCCTGGGACACAGTGAATGGGGCGCCACTGGTGGGGCCCCTCGGGCCCTGAACCTCTCTGGCAACCCTGCAGAAAAGGCTGGGCACTTACGACTATCCCAGGGGAAGGACGCGCTTGCTGGCGGGCAGAGCACAACTGTTCCTTTGCGTCTGATGCAGTCATTGCCACAAGTGTGGAAGTACGGAGTCAGCTGAGGGAAACACAGGAGGCTCAGGAAGTTCCCGTCATGCTTCAGAGCAAAACCTCAGCCCGATACCTGTTCCCACCAAAACTCCTTCTCTTCTGGTTTGAATGGGACTCCCACCCCGGCATGGTAATGAGGTATTTTTCCCTTGGGCACACTTTCATAACAAAGCCCTAACACCCAAACTAGGGACCCAAGACTGAACACCTTCCAACTCCTGAATTGTGAACCTAATCTTTGTATGTGTTGCTACCATGCTGGTTTCCTTATCTAAAAGGG